CTCACTGCAAGCATTGTCAAATAAGATATTATTCACAGAATATCACCGACTTTAGATAATAATTTACCCTGTTTATAGTTATTGTACATTTTACACATATCTACATTTTTAGCTTTACAGTATTCAAGAGAAGTTTCTGAAAGGATCTGGCCTTTAGCACGTCCAAGCATCATAGATCTTGTATCTTGTTCCTGAAGACTTGGTGTTGTTTGTTCCACTGCACTTGGGAACACATCATAATGCTTTTGAAAAAGTGGAATAACCTTTCACAGAATAGGTAAGAGTGGAAGGGACCACAGTGGATCATCTGTTCCAATCTCCCTGCTCAAGCAGGGTCATCCTAGAGCACATGAAACAGACAATTCTTGAATATCTCCAGTGAGGGAGACTCCACAATGTCTCTGAGCAATCTATTCTTTCCTGCTGGCATTGTAACTCTGTGAAATACAGGTTCTCACACTTGTGCATGCAACAGAAATGAACATCAGCATCTCAGTTTCTGTTTGCAATGGTAAAATAACTAGGATAATGAAATAAGCAGGACTACAGGGATAGAAACAATACAATGAAAATTTGTTAATGCTTCTATGGTCAGCTGATTTTAATGACTTTCTGATGCTCTATGGATTCTTTGGAATATAAATTCTTGGCTTGGGAAAGTGAAAAATACGGAGTGAAACCTTTAAGTATTTGATTCTTAGAACACACAACTTTTTTTATTCCTTATAAAGTATGCCTAGCAGAGTGGCTCCTGGAATGCACCAAGTAAAAGAACCAGTCATCACCACCACCAAAAATAATAGCAACAATAACTTTGCATTTATATAATTTAGCATTTATCACCTGGCTTCACATCAGCTGTTTGGTCTGTGCTTACAATTATATATAATTTTCTCTTTTTACACATCAGTATATAACTATGGTGACTTCTTGCAGACAAGATTTTCCTCTACCCTGTAAAAACCTCATAAAACCTTTTTTAAACTTTTTATAAAAAGTTACAGTGCTATGATACTTTTCTAAAGATAAAAAATAGTTTAGTAAGCTCTAGGTAAACTTTCAGCTTTCTCCATAATTGCATGCCCTCCCATCTTCCCTCCCTGCAGACATCTGGAATGTCAAATTTCAGTTCCCATTGCTAACTCTGTTTTTGAGGTCTCACAAGAAGTCATACAGTGAAATTGGCTATTTTTCTAACACTACTTCCTGACTTCTTATTTTTATCACCACTATTAATAAAATGCTTGGAATTTGATTATCTGTCCATAGTTTCTGACTGTTTACCATTTTATAGAAGTCATGACCAAAAAGGTGCCCATAAGGAAACAGGAAAGTAGGGTGCTTTGGTCAACTTTGTCATTTAGGTATGCAGATTTAAGGGATATATTCTTCAGGGTAAAGAAGCCCCCTGCAGAAAGGGCTGTGGAGAAGCAATTTGCTCCTCACTCTCCAAAACATCAGTGTCTGTTTCCTCCTTCTTCTGTCAATAATGTTTTCCTTGGAAGGGGATTGAGTCAAAGGCAGCTGACAGGAAAAGCAGTTATCATGTTAGCAAAGTATTTTTTTTCCTTTTTGAAAAGAAAAGAGGTTTTGACCTCTTTCATACTGTCATCTGTCCTGCATATTCATTGCGTTTTTTTGGCAAATGAATGGTGATGAAGCATCAAAAAGAATTGCTCAATATTATTTTCAGTGCCTTAAGATGCATCGGTTAGTATTACTTTGTCTTTAAAAATGTAATTCTACCAAAAGAAATAATGAAAAAGGACTTGACACTGATTCTGTTTGAATAGTGCATATATCTGAATATCAAAATAATTAAAACAGAGATATTCCTAGAATCTAATCATTCATTTTTTTCCTGAAGTTTGAGGAATCCCCACAATCTTGTCATTCCCTTAGGGTTTTTCTTGAAGGGTGTCGTAGTTTACCTTTTATACTTCTATTTTTTCTTTCCTCAGCACAGTATCAGTTATATTTTCTATATTGCCATAAATATGAACGTCAATATTTCTCCTTTTGTAAGGTAACTTTTTAGATTAGGTTTCCATTTTATTTTGTTTTCCAACTGTCTTTTGTAACAAACAGGAAATTTCAGTAGAGATTCAGCTAGTTCTGTTCTCTGTTATGTGTTATGTCTGATTTGTTATTTCAAAGATGACTTTAAAATGACTCTCTTTACTTTGTCAGCGGTTCTCATCCAAAAGATAAAAACTACCAAAAAGAGAGGAAAATTGGGATTTCATTGGTAAAATTTTGTTTTTCATCTCAGTTCCAGCATCACTGACCTGTGCTATGTTCCTTATCTACAAGTGCTCTTTCTGATTCTTTTAAACAAATGGGAATTCCAAACAGAAACAAATAATTTACATATTTTCAGCAGACAAAATGAATATTTCCATTAAATTGTATGTTTATTTTGGAGTTTGAATGGGCTTTTATTGTAGGGTTTTTTATTGGTTTTAATCTATTACAAGATGAATTTACTTTAGAACTGTTACATTAATCCAAGTACTGAATCCCTTAACTTGTATTTAATTTGAAAATATCATATGCAGTTAATTAAATTTTGGGTTGAGTTCTTTGGAAATAAACTTCTTGTTATTGATGATGTCATTAGTGCCAGGAGATATTCGTTTCCTGTGAAGGACTGTAATAACCCACTGGGATTTTTTTCCTTTTTTCAGTCCCTGCATGATAAATTAATAATTCAGATAATTTGTTTATAAACTAGGCTGTAGGGGGACATTGCTGAACACTACAAATAAGTTTTTGATGTGGTTATAATATTATTTCCTATGCTATTTATCATTTCTTAAACCAGACACTGTTGATGAATATTCAACATCTGCATAAAGCACAGGGAAACCTTTTTAATCAGCACTAATACTGAAGCGTGAGTTTTCTAATCAGCATAACTGGTGTGTGGTGTGGGAACCTATAGGGCTGGTGAATTTTTCAGATTAGGGAGTGTTAATGGATGGAAGAAGGACAGGCGCTGACAGCCAGGAAAACTCTTGTTCATTTTTAGCACTTTTCTGGCTTTCAGGAATGAAATCAGGCCATAGGGAAAGAAATTGCTACCACCCACAATGAATTCCAAGTTCCCTTTGGATAGCAGGCTGTTTCAATGGGTTTTGACCCAAACAAACCATCTTCTTTATCATTTGTGCATTTGCAGATTAAGAAAATGGTGCATAGTGTGGGTCAGCTCTGTAGATTTGAATGCATCACCCAACAATGAAATCCAAGTTGTTCGTGGTTCTCTTGAACTATAACTCATCCTCTCATGCACTTGTTTTTATGGACCATAAATATGCAATTAGATTTGATGTAATTTTCACACTGCATTTTCTCTGTCAGAAATAAATGCTGATTTTGTCGGGCTACAAGGCGGTTGATGCTTACAGTGAACTAGAAGACAGTTTGAGGAACCTCCTTCTCTTTTTCTCACCTGAGTTAACTAGATGTTGGTCTTTCATTGTCTTTTTTTTTTTTTTCCTTAAAAGCAGAACTCTGTTGTCACTACAGTTTTTCCTTCTGAAGGCAACTTCTCACTCTAGAAAAGACAAAGCCTTAGGATGCAGCAGTTCTGCTGCCTCTGTTACCATACAGCCCAGGCTCCTCCTTGTCTAAACAGAGCAGTGCAGAGATTATAACACTGCAGTTTACACTGACTGCCCTTTGCTGGGGAGTCCCTCTTCCATGTTGGGGGTGTCGAATGGAAAGCATGTCTGGGCTCCAAAAGCTGTTTTCACAATCTATCAAATTTAAGATACTCCTGAAAGTGGATGTGTGCTGTGAGCTGAAGCATGGACGTGCTACTCACAGCCGCTGCCAGCAATCAGGAAAACCTGCAAGAGAGGTAGGGTAGGAGGGAGAGGAAAATTCCTTTATCAGTGCTGACCTAACAGAACCCTCAGAAAACCACATTACAAAGAAACGTTGCAGATCTGCTAACTTTATATTGTGGTCATCATAACACAATCCATCCTTGTATTTATTTTTATTTTTATGCTGTGGCAAGAGACACATCGTGTGGAGCACCATAAACTGCACCTGCAGATAGTAATTCTGAGCTTAGGCCAAATCTAATACAAGCAGGCTCAACTCAACTGAAGTCATGCTTGCTTACGCCTGTAGTGAATTTGATACTGGGTGTGTGCACTGACTTGTACTAAATATGTTGCCTGAAATGATTAAGCACTAACCCAGTGTATGGCAAACCTCTGAAGCTATTCAAGTTAGGTGATTTATGATAATTTGCATTGCAATCGCTCTCTTCTGTGCTTGTCTGTAGTATCTACAATACATTCTCTTTCTGGTTTGTTTCCATAGACACTCTACCTGTGCTTCTGTGACTGCAACTCACTTAGAAAAAGCTGCAGAAGCTTTACACTAGATAACAAAAGTACCAGGGGCAGGACATTTTCAGCAGCAAGGAGATAAGTGTCAGCTGCAGAAGCTGTTGGAGAAGCAAATTAAATACTCAGGTGGTTAAACCAAGATCCATGTGATCATGGCTGCCTGTTGATACTTCCATTTGAAGAAATTGTAATTTAATCTGGTGTGTCCTCAAGAGCAGCAGTCACTCCAGAGACAGCAGTGGGGACATCCCAGGAAGGAAGCAAATAAATTCACAACCTATTAAGGTAATTTTTAGCAAATCCATCTTCCATTTTATCAACTTGATATACATGATTCCAGAATTTTGTGTTATGCTTACTTTGTTCTTTTGTGAAAAGAAATATACAAAATACCTGATCCCGTTAAGTTGTTGTATAGCTCTTACATAGTCACATTAACTGCTTAGAAAATTATAATATTGCAATATCACTTTAGAATCAAGGTAGTTTAAGAATGGTTCACAAATTGTACACACTGTTGCCTGCATCAATGATAATTTGGATTGAAATGCATGTTATTTCAATTGGAAAACACCCTTTGTAATAAAGACAGAAACTTCATAAGAAATTTTTGAATTATAAGCAGTTGCTTAATAATACCTGTTTTGTTAATAAGTAGGAAAAAATAACAGCAGGGAAAATAGAACTGCTGGTTCATTTAATTCTACTTGGAGATAGCTTTCAGACTTGGTCAAAGTATTGGCAGAAATATAAGGCTAGTCTGTCTTCAGCACTGCTTATCCTGCCTGTAGACACGGAGTTGAGATACTGGTATTAGAACTGAACAAACCATTCACAATAAAAAATATTTGGTATTGGAAGAGCTTGGTTTTGTTTCTTGTATTTTTGGTGAATTGCTCTGCCAGCCCTAAATGTGAAACCCGGTGAGATAAAACTAGCACTAGATAAAGCCTTTCTCTTTTGATTACTTGACTCAGTTGTTGTAGACTTAAATATGAAATCTAGACATTTCAATAGCAGAATATCCATGTATTTGCACCATTCACTTTGCAATCATAAGAACTAATATTTCACCCTTTTTTTTTTTCCTTTCTGTTTTTCATTTTATTAACAGTTATGCTTAAAAAATAATAGAAGAATTTTTTAGCTCAGGGAATATCACAGCATACAGGGTTGTAAGGGATCTCAAGGATCATCTCGTCCAACCTTTCTTGACAAAAGCATGGTCTAGACAAGATGTCCCAGCATGCAGTCCAGCTGAATCTTAAAATTATCCTACGCTGGGGAAGCGCTACTTCCCTGGGGAGAATATTCCAATGGCTGATTGTTATTATTGTGAAAAATTTTTCTTCTATGTCCAGTTGAATCCTTTCCAGAAATAACTTGAACCCATTACCCCTTTCCTTTTCCACTTGCCTTCTTGTAAAAAGGAAGCCTCCATCTTCTTTATAGCCACCTTTTAAATACTGGACCATGGGGCTAAGGTTTCCCCTAAGTCTTGCTTTCACAAGGTTGAACAGACCCATCTCTCTCAGACTTTCCTCATCTGTCAGGTTTCCCATTCCTTTATTCATCTTTGTGGCCTTTCTCTGGGCCCTCTCCAGCCTGTCCACAGATTTTTTTGTTTAGTGGGGATCAAAACTAAACATTGTATTCCAGATGTGTCCTGAACACCACTGAGTAGGGTGGGATAATGGCTTCTTTGTCTCTGCTGGTGATGTCCCTTTCGATGCAGCCCAGCATTCTCTTGACTGCTTTGCCAAAACAGCAGTGCACTGCTCATTCATACTGAACTTTCCAGAGAACTGCTTCCCACCAGGCAGATCCCAGTTGGTGTTGCGCTCCTGGATTATGTTTTCCCAACTACAAGACTTCACACTTGTCGTTGAACTTCATAAGGTTTTCAATGACTTGAGAATGAAAATATAATCAAATCTTAGAAACAATACTAAATATTTATGGCCATCTTAACGTTTTACATGTTAATGTAATGTTGCTTACTGCAGCTGTTAAGGCTTTGGTGATCTCCATTTTTTGGTTTTTGTTTGTTTGTTTGTTTGTTTTGTTTTGTTTTTTCTGTCTAGGGAGTAAAAGTACAGGTCCTAACTTGTTTTATACTCAGACAAACATCTCTCATCTTCTAGATATCTGCAAGAATAGATTCATAAGTGATAATAGTTCACCCAATATACTGAAAATAATATTATCATGTCTATTATTTTGTTAATTATTTCTCAAAATTTTGTTTTTACAATGCTGAGACATTATATTCTGAATTTCCAAGAAATGTCACATAAACTGCCAAGTCTTTCCAGCACAATAAACTTCTTGTAATGATCTCATATTTTCTAGGAGGTATTTGTCTACCTCATAAAATCATCACATAACAACACAATTGGCAACTTCTGTTCTGCAGAAGCAGATTATAATGTCAGGTCAAGGTTAACACATACTGAGCTTTGTGAGGAAGTTTGTAATTCTTCTTCTGACTTCCCATTTCTAAAAAATCACTTAACATGATTATTCCAGGATTGATATTTTCTGCTTATGAGTTGCACAATAAACTAAAGAAAAGCTTTGTCTGCTTTGTGATAATAACATAATAAAATACTGTAATCACTGCACACATGGTATGGAAATAGTATATTTGTATATAATAGTATATATAACGTGGTATATAAAAAAATCTATACTCTTCTCTCATAACTGTTGAATATTCTTTGAGCTATTATCTTTGCAGTGTTTCCTCCATATGTCCACTCTAAGTACATTATAATAGCTGTGGCTTCTCTGAATCTTTTTTGTCCTGTTCTCAAATATTTTTTACATGTCATGAATTCATCAGTGCAATATTTTTTCCTTTCTTTTTAATTTTTTTTTTTTTACAAATTATCTTTAATATCTTCAGAGTCAGATTAAGCTCAGGATTTGCTTTGCAATCATTGAGAAATTGCAGACTGAATATTGAGTAACAATTGTTCCTCAATAACCATGACAAGAATAATCCATTTTACAAGTCCCAGCATTTGGCTTGTCTATCCTCTCAAAACTGCTGAAAGATAAGGGCAGCAGCCAGTTAACAGAGGTGTGAATAATGACTACAGCTAATGAGACATACCACAAAACCTGGACTTTTTCAAGTAGTTGGCTGTTATTATCCAATCAGAATACAGGGGACTTCTTGCTATGGAAATGTTTCATAAGCCATCAATTAGTGATTTTTCCTCCCTTCTGACTGCCTGACACAACCCTTTCGAAGCCATTCCAAATGTACTTTTTATCACTCTTTAGGTAGTATACAGTGGATCTATTTTTTTTCCCCAGAAATTAGCTGTGTTCACAATTTGGAAATGTTTCTAGAAAATTATTACTCCAACACTGATCTATATTGCATTTTGAATGGGGAATGATTTTTTGAGATATCACTGTTGCAGTTTTTTATGATATAGTTGTTCTGCACTTCTTTCACAGCAAGAATCTAATAATATAATGTGCGTTCTGAAGAACACATTAAAATGACATTATGTGATCAGGATGCCAATTATAGTATGACTAAAGACTAGCTATCAAGCTACAGAAAGTCAGTAATTGTGCTGATATAAACATAATGTTTATATGTCCTGAATAGAAAAAAATTAATCCCACTTTATTACTTACATATGATTATTGACAAAACACTTAGGCATACATTTTCAAAGTGTTGTATGCGTTTTTAGCTGCATGACTCCCATTTAAGTCAATAGGAGTCACATAGTTAAAACCGCGTGCAATGTTTTGAAAAATTACCACAGAGAAGCCTCTCTTATTGCTTAGCTGCACAAACCATTTTATTCTCTAGTAGTTCTTCCACATGGCATGCTAGTAGTGTTGGCTGTCAGTAGTCTCATTAAAAAAACCCCACATCTATAGGCCTTCAAATATGGTGGTCTATTTATATGCAGACTTCAAAAATAATAACATGATTTGTACTTCTATTGTTTCTTTCATCTGCTGCAGACCAGTGCTTTAAAGCTGTTATTTAATTATGCCTCACATCACTCCTCCAGGTGGGTGCACTAGTAGCTGCCACCTTTGGCGGCTCACATGAGGAGACAAAGTGAGACAGTGGAGGAATAAAGAATTGAACCAGCCCAGCACCAGGTTCTTGGTCCCTTGTTCCAGCTATGAAATACTCCCAACCCACAAAGATTCATCGTTCAATAGTATGTAATGCATATGAAATGCTAACATTAATTGGAAATGGCACCAGAGTGACCTCACTTCAGTCTACTGAGGTCTGATATTGCTTCTTTTCACTCATTAATTCATTAATTAGTTTAAAAGGGCTAATGGAAAACAAAAATATTCCATTTGCCAGGATGTATCACTGCTGAATATTTATATAATTTTTTATTATTCATGCAGGATCATAAGTGCTTAACAGACAAGTCATTGTGAGTTTTCCTAGTTGTTGAGATAAACACAATATAGAATTTTTAAAACACATCAATTTAAAGGACTGATGAGATCTTCTTTATAATTTGTCTTTGTGAGGCTAAAGAAGCTCTAGGAAAACAATTTTGTGAACAGCTTAGTAGACTGACAGACATCACAACTCAAACACTTCCATTAGGCATTGAAGGCCTCAGCAACTTGCTGCAAGAGCAGAATGGCATCATATGAAATCTTTACGTTATCTCTTAGGCAAAAGAAGAGATTTGTTCTTGTTCTTTGTTTAAATGAAAAACCACACAAATAAATTACTGATCATTATTTGTACCTATATATAGAAATAGTAACTAATGTTTTTATGTACATGCCTAAGAAATTGAAAAATTTTAAATTTACCATTAGCTAGGGTGTTAAACTTATCAGTTTGAAGTTTTTGATTTAGAGATTTTGTTGAGACATATGTATATATTAAATTATATTTTCAAAAAGTGTTTTTTAGATTCATTTCAGAAACATAGATTTCCCTGGACAAAAGATAATTAGCTTTGTCTGGCAGATAGCAGTTTACTCTTCTGAACTGAGATGCACCCAGGTTTTCATAAACCGTAACTGACCTCTTTATAAACAGAAATGTTAGCCACATCCAGGTTTCCTTAGAACAGAAAATATAAATTAGTGCAAATAAAGGTCATAACGATTAGGAATTTTCACAAAATAAAACCTAAAATTCAGTAAGATTCCACTTACCATCCTATTTAATTTAACAGCAAGACATTTTTCGTATTTGACTGCAATAGTATTACCATGCTCTGAACAAAAAATTGTTTTTCCTAGTCGATTGTACCCTTGTGCCTTTGTTGCTTGTATTTCTATCGACACTGAGTGCATTATCCATTGTTAAATGATTGATAAAAATTGTTAAATAAGGCAAACACTATATTCAGTGTAGTGTAATGAGGCCTATCAAGCAGGAGAAATACTTCTCATTGTGATATTAAAATTAAATGTAGCATTTTAAAAATTCTTGACATAAATAAAGAGGTTATTTATCTGGA